GATGTATCAGCGAGCGCTGTCTGGTTACTCAGCAGCCTTAGGCTCGTCCCACGCGAAATCTCTTCTTGTTAAAGAGAATATAGCATCTTTACAACTTGCAAAAGGTAGCGTCTCCCTGAAAGAACTAATATTCAAGTCTGCTAACATTTACAACTACGTTCATCATTAGAAACCGAATCGTCGGTCAATCATGCTTCAGCAGATGAAATTACCTCCACGATAGTGGAAGCTCCGCTTCAATTAGGTTCATCAGCCGCAACTACGACGTCGTTGAAGAGGAGGCGCTCAGAAATTGGGAATAACTTGCGAGATAAGACACGCCGAACCTCTACGAGAACTACGCCATCTAAATCGACGGAAGGCCGAACATAAAGTTGGAATTGCGTTATAGTAAGGTTACTTGGCTGTTACGCAATGTAGTGACTTTACAAGTTCACTACTTCGGGCCTGGACCAAAAAAACTTGTCAAGTCTTGATCTAATTATCGAAGTGAACGGAATGGATCTAAATATGAGTGTACAAGAGGATAAAAGAATATTAGTGGTGAACTTGTTAATTGAAGTAGAAAAAAAGGGAACAAAGAAAGGGTGGAGGAATCCGCCGATATAGGTACATGAGCGAACTATGTGTGGATGGGTACACTAAATGCCAACAAAGATATCCCTCTTCCTCAACAACGGGAGACGGGTGGAGCGCGTAGAACTTCTTCCTTTTTTCTCGTTTTCGCCAGCTTGGTCTCACGCATGGCAGTTGGTTTTCAGGCCCAACCTGCGGCTCCGTGACACTTCATTACATTCCCATACAAGCAGTACTTTAAAAACTCACTCGTTCACTCTTTCATGCTCGCTGCCGCACCCGGCATCTCCCAAGACAAAGGGCATCACACACTCCGGAGCCGCCTTGCCTGCCCTCCGCCTGCCGCACATGGGGTGCCCCCTCTCATCCAAACCCTTTCAAGTGCACGACCACTCTTGCTCTGGCTTCTGGCCCCATGCGACACGCGCTGTGACGTAGCCATGGATGTTAGGATCATTCGATTCCTTCTCAACATGGGCCCAGAAGGCCTTGGTCTCCTCTGGCTTCCAGCCTAGCAGGTTGTGGCAGATGTAGTTGAGATATCCTTCAAGATCCATCTCAATCGACATCTTCCACCAAAGTCCTCGTTCTGCAGAATCCTTATCTGGGTGCCAGACCCCAACCGGGATTGCCATGTCCTTGAACTCGATGTCGACAAAGCCGGCCGCTTCCATCCC